GGAAAATGGGGAAAATTGACATCCCTAGTGGGAACAAGGGAAAATGTGGTTTTTTAAATTAAGAAAAGAATATTTGTTTGCTAATTGTTAAGAAAGTTATAATCATGTAAATAAAGAACCTTCCCGATCGGAATCGGAATCGAAAGGCCCATTCTGATTTCAGGTGTTTGGTTGGGCGGAATTAGAATCTGATTTCCATTCCGGGCGGAATAGCAATTCCCAATTTGAAGGAATGGCCATTCCTGACCCACCCTCCGGAATCGGAATCCCATTCCCAAAAAAATTAAAATGAAAAAAATACCCCTTAAATCTCTTTCTACTCGAATCCAACTTTCTAAGCCTTATTCCCCCTTCTCTCTCGTCACTCCCTCCACCGGTAGAAGTTCGAAGTACTGATCTGAGTCGAAACTCCGGTGATGGTGACGACGAGGTAAATCACCATCAATTTTTTTTTCTCTCCTCTTTCCTATTCTTCTTCTTATTCCTCCTCTCCTTCTCTCTCACTTTATTTTTTATTCCTCTATAGTTTTTCCGCTGCAGACCAGACCAGACCAAACCACAACACGGTATGCTTTCTTCGATTTTCCTTTGTCTGGTTATTTCTACTTGACCTCGAAATGCATGTTAAATTAAGCATCTCTTCTTTCAAATATTTAAATGTGTTTTAATTTTTTTCCCAATTTCAGTTTGGAATGCATCCTTATGTGAGTAGAGTTATTTGGTTGATAGTTCAGTTCGGAATGCATCCCTATGGTGTTTGTAGCTAATAAGTCTGAAAGATCTCTATCAAGTTGATTAGAGTACAATAACATTTAGAGGTGTAAAGCTATGGCAGCCCACGCAAAGTGCAGGCTGTGCCATGTTGGCCTTTAGGCCGGCACAGGCTGTGCCGCCCTCCCTAGTGAATAATTTGGGGGTCGGCCCGCAATAGCCCACTACCCAAGCCTGTGCGGGCCCATGCTGTGCTACGAACTGTGGGCTTTGGCCATGCTAGGCTAGGCCACAAGGCAGGCCTTGGGCCAGGGCCGAACTAGGCTAGACTAAGTTTCTTTTTTTTTTTTTTTGAAATTTTTGATTTATTTTTTAAGTGTAAAACTAAAATATTTAACTTTCATTTGACTTTGAGCTTTGAGAACAATTTGAAAAATTAAGAAATGAGAAATGAAAAATCTAAGACATAAATGAAAAAAAAAATACTTAACCAAATAAGAATGATGGAATAACAAATTAGAAGAAAAATAGGAATTTTATTTCATTTAAATTTGAATGGTACAAATTATAAAGCATACAATGGTCAGATACTTCGATGAATGAAATATGAAAATGGAATAAATTAATAAAATATAAAAAATACAATATAGTTAAAAATTTAAAATACAGAATTACATTGTTAAAAAATAGCAAATAAATTAAATAAAATTAAAACAAATTTGCAATAATTTGAAAAAATAAAAAAAATTCTATACAACTAGTCAACTATTGTTCATGACTTTCATCCAACCAATCCTTTGTCATGCCCTCCTTTGTTTTGTAATCTATCTTTTGCATCCAACCAATCCTTAAAGCAGATGCACATCTCTATACTTTCATCGTTCATGCAGCTTCACTTGTTGTCCAATACTCTGACACCTACACAAAAACAAGACTCTGGTGGAACTATAGACATCGGAGGGTTTAGTAGATCATGTGCCATGGTGGCAAGAACTAAATAGTTTTTTAAATGTTCACTCCACCAGGCTAAAATATCAAAATTATTTTTTCCCTAACCTAAACTAGAAAAATTTGCTTGTAACTAAAAATTAAGTTCAGTAAATGAAATTGTTGCAGAAGTAATTTAAAGCATCTTGAATACATAAATTTAAGATGTGACATGCACATTTGATATGAAATAATTTACCATTTAAACATGGTTTTAATTGAGATTTTAAAATATTTATTGCATAATCATTATTACTAGCATTATCAAAACTAATAAAAAATAATTTATTCTCAATTCCATAAGCATGTAAGGTATTTAAAGTGATTGCAGTAATAGCTGAGCCAGTATGTAGCCATTCAATTTTAGTAAAACTTAAAATTCTTTTATTTAAAAGCTAATTTTCGTCAATAAAATGACCAGTAACACAAATATAACTTATGTTAAATTTAGAAATCCAAACATCAAAATTAATTGCAACTTTAGAATTAAGATTTGATAACAAAAAACATTAAATTTTGTTTATATGAATAAAAAATTTTTAAAGCATCTAATGTAATAATATTAAATTTTGTTTATATGAATAAAAAATTTTTAAAGCATCTAATGTAATAATATTATTAGAAACTTTTTTATATTGTGGATTTACAAAATCACGTAACCATTTTTCAAGTTTGTATCTTCGGCTAACAAAAATGGTTATTCTCCATGTACAATGTATTTTTCTAATTATTGTCTCATTTTCTTGTGTATATTTAAATAGATCAAAACCCCCTCCCAATTTTTGTTTGTGCTATTTCTCTCCCTTCTTCTTCTTTTTCTTTCTCATGTGTGGGCAAATGTTTGCTCAAATGGATAGTACCACCCTTGTTACAATAGTTGAAGTCTTTTCTACATTTTTGGCAAACTACTCTTTTTCTCTTCCCCTCAATATCCTTTACTTTAAATAGTTTCCAAACTAGGATACTCAACTTAGAGGCTCTTTTTCTCTTTCCCCTAGTATCAGTACCGAGGGTGAAAGTTCCATCAATATCAATAGCATCAGTGATAACACTATTATGATGTGACTAAATATCGTCAACAGTGAACATATTGGGGAATTGGTTTTGGGAAGAGACGATCATTTTTTTTTAATTCTAAAAAAATAAAAATTAATTTAATTGGACTTACCTAGATTTCCGGTTCAGAATCCCAACTTGATTGCAACGGTTAAAGTCTTTCAACGTCCAAGACTCCCAAATTGCTAACTTGAAATACTTGAGTTGGTTGAGCAAGCCTTCTTATTGTTGAAACTTCAATAAAGTTGAGAATTAGACAATTAGCTAATCAGATTATCAGAGTTCACTCAGATTGCAGAGAATTAATGAGAGAGAGAGAGAGAGAGAGAGATGGGCGGTGTTGGATTGTTCTATAAGCTACGCTTGGGCCAAATCGGGCAAGACTTTTTTTTTGTTTCTTTGACATTTTGATTTTTTTTATCATTTAGCTAAGTAAAATACTTAACTTTCCTTTGGGAACAAATCGAAAAAATAAAAAAAATCTAACAAAGAGATGAAAAAATACTTAACAAATGCAAAATGGACAATAAATTGGAAAAAATAGGAATTTTATTTCATTTGAATTTGAACAATACAATTGTCAATCAATGAATTAAATATGATAAAATATAATAAAATTATAAATTAAAAATAAAAATTCCATTATTGAAAAAATAACAAATAGTTTAAATAAAATTGAAAAACAAAATTTACAATAATTTTAAAAATTGCTACATGTTTCTTAGGAAACATTTACCTGAGTATGTAAATTTACCCACGTTCTTTTATTTCCCAATTAAATAAGATAATGGCCATTTTAGCCATAAAAATTTCATTATCAAAAAAGGCATTGTGTCCCGTCCAAGTGTTGGAAACTTCCTCCCAGATAGGAAAGTTAATTTACCCACTTGGGAGATGGGTTGCACTTACCTAGGTAAGTGGGTAAGTGATGAGATCACATCTCTTCCCCACAAAGGGCCGCCCCACAATATCGCACAGCATATCCCCGCCGTTTATTGGTCATATCTCCCGATGATGACATTTTCAGTTCTGGTACTATCATTGAGAGATGTTCCCAATACACGGTGGGGATGCGTTGTGGGATGTTGTGGGGCGACCTCTTGTGGGGAGGAGATGTGAACTCGTAAGTGATACCTATGAAAATAAACTTTTCCCTGGCCCCATATAAATCTAGAAAAAGAGCATTAGTTTGTTGATCAATGGGAGTGTGAATCCCATTGACCAACTTCCCCCCTCTCAAAATCCCCCAAAAAGAACACCCCCTCAAGAAAAAAAAAACATTTTTTCTCTGCCATGTAGTGGATTGAGGCCAATAAGAAGATACCCACGATAATATCAAGAATCTATTTGTTTTACTTTTGCATAAAACCCTAACAATAGATTTCAATTGAAAGATAATAAGATCCAAAAGAAAGGGATCGAAAAAGGAACAAAAAAAGCCACTCCAGCTCCTAATTGCCTCTATGGAATTGTACCATCTCACATCATACCACTTGAAAGGAGCCGGTTGATGTTGAATTGCAATTCATTTGCCTCCAACTTAAAACCCGAAGCCCAAGCCCCACTGTTACCAGCCCTAAGACAAAAATTAGAATTGAAGGCTTTTGGGCTTTAGTTCTTCTTATGTTGTAAGAATAAGGGTGTATTTTGAAAATTGAATGAACAGTTAGGGGAACTTTTGACCTTTACTTTTGATCTGTTAGACTTGATGAAAGAAGGTATACCTTGTAAACAGTTTATGAAGCTACAGGGTATATATATAAGTAGTTTCCTCAAAATTTAGGGTATATAAGTAATTAAACCTTTTATTAATTTAAAATTTTACATGCTATAATTTAAAATTCTTAAAGTTAGGATTTCATGCTTAGAAAATATAGCTAGCATGTACCAAGGGCTACAGGCGATTAAATGTTAAAAGATGTTCTCAAAGGAATCTGATGAGAGGGTCCCTCTTAAATTGACAAAATACAACATCAGAAAAAAACTAAAAACGTTACTCGGAGCAGGTTTTATTCTCACTCCCCAAGCTGAAAAGTGCTTCTAATCACAGCATTCATCAAAATCCATCCAATAAAGTATGGACAATATCATGCATTGAATTGTGGATAAAGGAAACTTTTAGCAGTGGGAAAAAAGTTAAAAGACAGATAAAATAAAGCAAAACTAAATAAAATACTAGTTTTCACTAAAAAGAAAGGGTAAATTTTTTAAATTAGTTAATTGATTAAATATATTTTTACTGATTATTGTCAAACGATAACATCCGTGAATATTCTGTCAAAATTCATATACACATGTGATGTAATTTTTTCTAAAATTTAATTTTACCCTTACCAGCAGCAAACCGAACTAATTCGATCCTTAACCGGTGACGATAGCCCCCTCCACCTCCGGCCCTCTCTCTCTCTCCTTCTTCACCTTTGTTCTCTCTCCCTATTTTCCCTGTTTCATCACCCCGCTGCAGCGGTGGACCCCTCTCTCCCCTGTTTCTCCCGGCTTTGGGCACAAGTCGTATCTCATTTGAAGTTCTTCAACATGCATGTTAGGGAGTCGTGAGTAAATGCTACCTACTTCAGTTTCCCCGTCATCACCAACACCTCCGCCTCCCCCACCACCACCACTACCATCGTTCAGAGACGAGAGACGATGCCAACGAAGATTTCTTAGGGATGAGAAATTGACCAAGGGCTTGGAGAGACTTAATGATGTTACCAAAAACAAGGGCTTCTTTTTTTGGAAATTTTTAGAAGACTTCATCAAAATAAATGAAAAACTGATTTTCTTGACCGTGGATTCTTGATTATCGATAGCCTGATACAATGGGAGCGTAGAAAGCTCTACGGCTGTGCAAGGCCGAGAAAAGAATAGAAACACACTTAGAATCCAAAGAGACAGTTTGTGCTAGGGGAAACAAATGAGTTTCTGTGAAGTAATCGTAGTTTCAACTATTCCACTGCCAGTTCGAATATCTGCAAGTGGGCTTTGGAGAATAACGATGTGCAACAACAAGAAGAACAAGAAGAAGAGAAATTCAAAATGGGGTTGGTCAGTTCATTTTACTGTCATTAGGATAATAGATGTTGGGTTTTGACACGGTGGTGGGATACCATATCTTCCTGTAGTTAAAGTTGAAGAGAAGAACCAAAACTACAATTAAGGGTGAGCAATCAAAGAATACGGGGGCTTTGAGCAACTTCAACAACAACATCTCCCCCCTCCTCTCAGAGAGAGCGGCGGTTCCAGCGGCGAAGATTGGAAGCGGCGTTTTCGACTGGGCATCGGAAATAGAACCGCTGCGTTACAGCTTAGAGGGTGGTCGACAAGGCTCTCTCATTTTTGAGCTCGACAGCCTCTCTATCTCTTTTATTCTCTCCCTTCTCTTTTCCCTCTTTCTCCCCTTCCTCTTTTCTCTCACGGCCGTCTACATTCTCGGCTCTACTGCAGATTTGAAGCCATTTCCGAAAACAGATCTGAAGCCACCGGCTCTACCATCATCAAAGCTCTTAGTGAAGAAATAGGAATTGAGGCCGAAGCTGGTAGCGCCTACTCTTGAGGAAGTTTCAATGATGTGCTCTGAGAGCTTCGTCGCTCTTTGATATACATAGAATATCAATGAATTGGATTGGGGTTTTTTGACAGAGGAGATTGGAGTTTGAGATACCTTTAGGGGATCTTTTGCATGAAAAAACCTTGGAGATCTTCAAGGAGTCACAGCGTTTCTGATGCTACTGGAGTTTCTTTGGGGCATTTTCTACAGCATCAAATCTAGCGGGGGTGTGGCATTTCAGAGCTCCACCCAGAAAGACCTCCGATAGACGTTGCTCGAACAGTCTCCGAAGAACTACATCTCTACAAGGTGCATACCTCTCCGCGGTCTCGTGGATGAACGAAACCCTCCAAACCATCTTGTTACTCGGCCAAATCCATTTAGAGGAGGGGGGGAACGAAGAGGGGAAGGGGTGGAGAAAGAAGATCACCACCGCTATGGAAGTTGCAGCGGCGGCGGTGATTTTGATCAATGAAGACCAGATTGGACGCGGGCGGTGAAGACCAGACAAAGGAAGAATTGGAGGAGCTTTCAAGGGTAAAACAGATATTTCATTCCTTCCGTTAATATTTTAACGTCAGAAATAATTTCCCTCGGGTTAGCATTAGACAATATTCAAACAAGATTCTTTTCTGTTTTCTCCCGTCTCTTTTTTGGTTCGTCGTCCGCCGTATAGAGAACAGAAAAGGGGGTGACCCCCCTCGTTTACTCTCGAGATCTCTTGAGGTTTTCTTTTCTTTCGTGCTTTGTTTGTTTCTCTGATTTTTTTTTATTATTTTTTTTGTCCTTCTGTTCTCCTTGTTTCCTCTGTTCTCATATGTTAGTTTGTTCTCTATTTCTATTCTTGTTTTCTCTTTTCTATTCTCCTTTCTAAGTTCTTTTGTTCTCCTTTTCTTTCTTTTGCCATCTATTCGTTTGTTCCTTTGTTTCTCCTTGTTACTTCTGTTTCTCCCCTCTTCCCTATTTTTTATATTTGCTTTCTTTTTACGGGCATTTTGATATGGAGTCCCTGCTCTATCTCCTTTTTGCAAAAATCACCTGTCATCTCCAGCGTCTTGGAAGGCAGTTACATTTCTTTGGCGTCCTGGATGACACTGACAGTGCTTTGATGTCCTGATGGCAATTTCAGTTCCCTGGTATTTCGGATGGCAATTACAGTTTTCCGGCATTGTAGATGGACGTTACAATTCTTCGGGTTCTTTGAGTGGCAGCTCGCAATCGACAGTCCTCTAATGTGTTGGGTGGCAGTTGCAGATGATGCTGTCTTTTGCAGTTTGGTTTGGAGTTGTTGGAGGTTACAAATCATGGCTTGTGGCTTTGTAACCTCCTTTCTCAGTTTCGGTTTTAGTTGGAAACTGTTCTTGTCAGTTTGTTCGTCAGTTATGGTGATTTGGAGATGTACTTATCAACTTCTGTTGATGATATTAAATCACCTTATTTTGATTGTAGAAGTTATTCTAATTCTCCTACATCCATCTTTTTGTTTTGTTCTTCTTCAGAATATATCTTTCAACTTTAATTAGCCTTATTAACATTTATTTGTATCAATCTCTTAAATGAATAAAATATGATTAAAGCCTTCAAAATACAATAAATATAGTAATAACGATCTCAACGAGGCTTCACCTATTTTTCAAATTCTTTGGGTGTGTCAACCAGCTTCCACAGATTAATGGTCACAAATTATGCTTCCCTAACATATCGGTACTTGCCGATATCGTGGGTTATAAAAAGATAAACCGAAACGATGAAGCAGCAGATTACCCAAACTGCAAATTGGCGAATACCACATATGTGCCTGAAATAAATGCCACTGCCAAGGCCAAGATGGAACATCCAATGTAGGGTATAGCATTATACAAACAAATAACTTTGTTGTTGTAATTTCGCTGAATTGAACCGTAGAAGTGTCTTATCATTGAACCAACGGATAAACTGAAAGCCAAGGAATCGGCCACCATAAATATCTTGAAGGCTGCTTTCACCGACAAAGTCGGCATCCCCTGTTCTGTGCCTTCATTTTTGTACCCACCAGGGATGGTGATACCAGCTGCAAAGGTGATTGAGGTGATAATTGTGGCTACCAACAAATGGATGCTGCTTCTTTCTTTCCATGATCTGAATTTTTCTTTGGAGTTTCGGTCTTCCGATCTATGTATATAGATTTTGCATTCTTCTGAATTCCTTTAAAGGCTTTATATTGTTTCCTTTTATTTCCCTGTGAATAGTGTATGAAAAGAATCTGAAATTGCCGGTATAAGGAATGAGAAGTATAGGGAATTATAAAAAGAGTCTCAAATAGGGGTGTAAACGATATTTGAAAATTCGATTTCGAATTCGATATTCGATACAATCGAATCGAATTCGGATAATTCAAATATTTAATCGATCGAATTCGGATATGACTTGATTCGATTCGATAAATATTTGAATTTGACCGATTATTTAATTCTTATATATAATATATAAAATAGTTAAGTTATATAAATAATTTACATATTTATATACTTTATATCAATAAAATATTTATTTTATATATTTATTAATTATCTAAAATAATTAATTAATTGAATTTGAATCGAATCAAATATTTGAATATTTAATCAAATTCAAACTTGGATATTACCTGATGTAATTCGAATTTGATCCGTTTACACCCCTAATCTCAAATTCACACCGTTCTCTTTCAAATGGAAACATTCAAAGCTCCTGGCCCGGATGGTCTTCAAGCTGGAATGCTCCAACACTTATGGTCGGACATAGGGACAGACATATCAGCACTGATCAAATATCTGTTCAATTCAGAGGTAATACCCAGTAATCTGAACTTCACTTACATTTGCTTGATTCTTAAAACTAAGAATTCAAATGTAATTATTGATTTCCGCCCCATATCCCTTTGTAACGTGGCTTACAAAATTTTCTCTAAGATGCTAACAAATCGGATGAAGCCGATCTTGCATGACATTATTGATCTGGAGCAAAATGCCTTTGTTCCCAATCGGATGATTTCGGAGAGTATATTGGTGGCTCATTAGATATTGACTCACCTCCAGAGGAAAACTAAAGGCCGAGTAATGGAAATGGGGATTAAGCTGGATCTCAAGCAAGCGTATGACTATGTGAACTGGGACTTCCTAGAAACAGTGATGTCCAATATGGGATTAGATCAGTTTCGTACAGCATCTTGGTTAATGGCTCCCCCATGGGGCAGGGAGGCCCCCTGTCCCCTTACCACTTCCTCTTAATCATGCAAAGAAGGATTCACTGGTTAAGTTGGAGGAAGCTCTGTAAATCCAAACATACAGGAGGCTAGGTTACAGACATATCCGGGATTTTAACAGGGTTCTCCTTGAAAGATTGGCAATGGAGACTAACAAGAAACCCTTAATCTTTATGGGCCAGGGTAATGAAAGGGAAGTACTTTCCCCGCTCGTCATTCTGGGAGGCTCAGTTGGGCAGCAAAAAAGCTACGTGGGGTTGGCGGAGTTTGTTTTGGGGCCAAGATGTATGTGGGGCATAGTAAATGGTGAACAAGTACAAATTTTGGGGGACAAGTGGGTGCCGAACCTTCCAAATCAACAAGTTACGACCCCTCAACTAGTGAGTGACTTCAGTCTGTGACTTAGATAACACAGGACCCAAGAGCTTGGAATGTGGATGCCACTAGAGCCCACTTCAACAGCCACGATGCTAGAGCCATTCAAAGTATCCCCATTAGCTGGATGGACCATTCGGGTTCAATTATATGGTGCCTTCACGATTCAGGAGAATGCACGGTGAAGTCGGCCTATCATTTGGCAAAAAACATGATGAACGAAGAGGACCAGGTGACAGCAAGTGTGCAGGCCGACACATCTGGGTTTTGGAAAGATTTACGTTGATTTAATGCCACTCCCAAAATGAAAAATCTCCTATGGAGAATCTGTCATGGTATAATCCCAATGAAAATGAATCTAAAAAGAAGGGGAATCACTCAAGATGACTCATGTCCCAGATGCGGAAAAGAAAGTGAAACTCCAGAACATCTCTTCCTTCAATGTGATTATAATAGAAGAATTTGGTTTGGATCAGATCTAAATGAATGACCGTCGCATCCTATCTCTTTCTCATCCTGTGTAGTGAAATGGTTCTCTCAAAAAGGAGATACCTCTCTCAATCAGGCCCAAAGCTAGTGGCAGCAATCTGCTGGCACATTTGGATAGCCCGTAATAAATTAGTTTTCACAGGAGAGTGATCCTTCAAAACAAGTGTTGAAAAGAATTAAGTTGGAAGCAGCCTGGTGGGGGAAGTGTTGTTCCTCCACAAACCACAGGGAATAATCCCTAAGGTCTCCCCTAACCATAACTGGGTTCCTCCTCCGCTGAAGTGCTTCAAGTTAAATACGGATGCAGCTTTTGCCCACAACTCGTTGAAAACGGGGTTAGGAGTGGTCATTCAATCTCCTCCAGGCTTTGTAAGATGGGCTCTCTGGAGTAGAACTTGGAGTTAGTCAGCCCATTCAGCAGAGATGTTGGCAGTTAGATTGGGTATGAGATTAGCTCAAGTTGGAAATTCAAAAATTGACTATTGAAGTGGATGCGGCAAATGTAATCCAAGAGAGCACATGCGGCAGCTCTCCCTGGCCTACGTTTCAATAGGAGTTCAGCTTCAGTCAGGGCAAGTTCTGTTTGGGCAGTTTTTACTGCCTTGCATTGAGAATATCTATCTCCATACTTATATACTTTATATCATGGGAATATATTATTAATGTAAGGTTGGGAAAGACTGTTAAAATGGTGTGGGCATAGACTTGCCCTGACTGAAGCCGAAGCCAGTCTCTTCCAATAGCATTTTCATTATCCCTGTGATTTAAATAATTGGAAAAACCATAAAAAGAAAAATGAATGATTCCAACCTTTATGTGTTCAAGTTATAAAGTAAGGGCTTAGTTTGGAAAGAGTATAAATAAGGGTGGCTCGCCACGAGCCTGGCAGCGCGCAGCACGCACCGCACAACAGCAGCACGCGCCGCACGGCAGCAGCACTGTGAGACGCGCACGCTGCACACATACATACATACCTACACACACATACATACATACATACATACATACATACATACATACATACATACATACATACATACATACATACATACATACATATGTTGCCATATGAAGAGGCAACATATGGTCTTTGTTATAAACACCAGCACATAAACTATCAAATTCCAGCAACAACTGAGTTTCTATATGGTAACCCATGTATGCATCAAAGTGAAGTATTGACCTCATCTCATTCACCATCCCTGGCCTACGTTTCAATAGGAGTTTAGCTTCAGTCAGGGCAAACTTTGTTCGGGCAGTTTTTATTGCCTTGTATTGAGAATATCTCCATACTTATATACTTTATATTATGGGAATATATTCTCAATGTAAGGTTGGGAAAGACTGTTAGAATGGTGTGGTCATAGATTTGCCATGACTGAAGCCGGTCTCTTCCAACAACATTTTCATTATCCCTATGATTTAAATAATTGGAAAAACCATAGAAAGAAAAATGAATGATTCCAACCTTTATGTGTTCAAGTTATAAAGCTTAGGCTTAGTTTGGAAAGAGTATAAATAAGAGTGGCCACGAGCTGAGTCTTTTACGAGCTATTCGAGCTTGGCTCATAACAAGCCGAGCTTTAAGTCGAACTTGAGCTCAGTGATGTTCGACTCGTGAGGCTTGCGAGTCGAGTATTAAATAAATAATTTTTATTATATACGTACATATATACCTACACACACATACATACATACATACATACATACATACATACATACATACATACATACATACATACATACATACATACATATACATACATACATACATATACATACATACATACATACATACATACATACATACATACATACATACATACATACATACATACATACATACATNATACATACATACATACATACATACATACATACATACATACATACATACATACATACATACATACATACATACATACATACATACATATATATACAATTTTATTATATAATAATATTTTTATTTTTCATATATATAGTAAATAATTTTTTTAATTATTTTATGTATATATAATATTAAATAATTTTTATAATTCTTAATTTTTGTTTAAAAATAAAAAAAAATTATACATATAATTTTTATTTTTCAAAAAAAAACTTGGCTTATAGTCGATGTCAAGCCGAGCTCAAACTTGCGAGCTATGAACCGAGTCGAGCTTGAGATCAAGTATCTAGCTCGAATTGAGCTCGAGCTCAAACTTGATACTATTCCTACAAATCGAGCTTGGATAGCCAAGTATTCGGCACGGCTCAACTTGAATCCACCCCTAAGTATAAACAAAAATATGTAAAGTGCATAATATTGTATTTTGTATGTATTTATATTGTATATAATTATAATTGTACTCCTTCCAAAGTGAGC